AAAAAAAAAAAAAAAAAAAGAAAAGAAAAAAAGCCAGAAGCATTGCTGGTTTCCTTCGCTTCTCTCTCAGGCTTATAAATGGTAGTTCTTCAAATGGGAGTCCTCTTCAGAATGGGTCAAGCAGCCTTGTAGAAGTCCGGGACTAAAGCTCCCTTTTTATTTCCTACAGAGAAATTCAATACCTTCTCTCCAGACGTCGGCCCCTAGCCCATATTTCAGCTGGAATGATCTCTCCTGGTTTCAGAGCCTAACCCGATTGCCCATCATCCTTAAAGGGATCCTGACAAAGGAGGATGCAGAGTTGGCTGTGAAGCACAATGTCCAAGGCATCGTGGTTTCCAACCATGGTGGGAGGCAGCTTGATGAGGTTCCCTCTTCCGTAAGTAGGAGGTCATGAGAGGGGGGTGAATGGAGAGCAAGGAGCGCCCTTCACTGGGCTCTCTGATTATAAAGCTTCCTACTTCCCAGCCCAACTCCTATAGTCACTTTTCACACACCCAGCACCTTTCACACACCTGGTAATTGGCAGAGGGGAGAATGTAAAGAGTGCAGGTCAGAGTGGGCCCTGAGGCATCCCAACCACTCCGACCAGGTAAGAGCAGAAAGCAGCACTGAGCTGCCTCCAGCACTCAGCAATCAGGCTCTGAAAAGAAAACTAATCCAGGGGGAAACCTGTGGCTCAAAGGAATAGGAAGCAGGCCCCAATATGCTGGAGGTGGCGGGTTCAAGCCCAGCCCCGGTCAAAAACTGCAAAAAAAGAAAGAAAGAAAACTAATCCATATGTAAATCCAAGAAGGGAGGTGGGTGAGAAGGGGTATCCACTCTCCTATCTACTGGGCACCACACAGGGGTACAAGCACACCTCCTGGGTGAAGGGCTCAACTGCAACTTGAACTTTATCTAACAAAGGCAAACAATGTAACCTAACGGTATGGACCCTCATATTAATCTGAAATTTTAAAAATACCAAAAAAGAAAAGAAAACTAACAAAAACAGTATGCAGTAGGTGTCAGGCTTTTAGTAATCAATTTAGCTTGTCCTGCTCCCTTGAGAGGGCTGAGTAGTAAGTGGAGAAAGAGGAAAACTAATTCCCCCACGCGCTTCCTCCACAGAGAGTATTGGCCCAAGGGCCTGAGAGAGGGGATTTCTCCTATGTCTTTATGCTTATTGTTTTCCCAAGTCATTTGGCAAAACTTCCAAACCCAAGAGCACCCTGGAATCATCCAAGTTTAGTGCCAGGATTAGTAAGGTTCTTTCTTGCCTTGGAGCTCAAAAGTTAAGAAGGTGCCAAGAAAAACTTAGTAAGGTAAATATTATAATATTTTTGTGCATTATTTTAAAAATGAAAATTAAAACAAAAATCCGTGGTAACAAAATGTCAACATTTTAAATAAAGATAGGACCCACCCTTGCAATTTGTATAACCCTGCTTCACCTCAGCTTAGTTCTGGCCCTGGGTCCAATAAAACTTTATTTACAAAAACAAGTCCCAACTCACAGGTCAGAATTCACCACCTGATTTTTTAAAATCGTTACATTTGAATATCATTTCTATGAGTTTTGAACCACCCCCTAAATTTTGAGGCTCAGGTAAGTGCCTCACCTCCCTCAGGCTGGTGTCAGCCTTGTAAGGGGTGAAACTTTCTGAAAGAAGCCCCCAACTCTATGAGGTTTCATTCCCACATTGCCTTTGTGTTTCCTCCTGGGACCAGGGGAAAGGATAAGTCAGCTGTTGTCCCCAGAAGACTCTAGTAATGTTCTATTCCAATCTATTAAAAATAAACTCTGGGGCAGTGCCTGTGGCTCAAGGAATAAGGTGCTGGCCCCATATAACAGAGGTGGTGGGTTCAAACCCAGCCCCAGCCAAAAAAAAATGCAAAAATAAACTCAGAGGCTAAAATTCAAGCTAAAATTCACTCCATGCTCTGCTTCTCAAATTGTTGTCCTCTCTGCTGTCCAGTATGGCTCACAAAAACAGTATGGACAAATATACTTTTTAACAACACCGTGAGGATATTTCTTTCTTCTTTTTTTAGGATATCATAGTCTAAGTTTATCTTCTAGTAGAGAGAGGGAAGAGAGTGGGCCAAGGGATGAGAAAGAGAGAGAGAAGAGAGCAGAGAGTGAGAGAAGGAAAGATGGGGGGTGGGGAGCCAGAGAATGGCATGGGACCCTAAAGAAAGGAAGGTAGAATGCCAGCCCATGAACATATTTCAAATAATACCCTGCTGGGATTATAAAATACCCCTTATTTTGGACCTGAATTCCCTCCAGTTATTACATCTAAATTCAGAACAGTCAATTTCACCTGTAAATTAATTCTTTTTTTCCCCCAAGAGCTGGTGTCACAGTACATCTATACATGAAAGTACAAAATTCTTTCCTCCAAGTTTCTTATTCTGCTCAGTCGCAGCCAAAGGATCTCATTCAGGTAGAATTCTGATGAATTCCTTTGACAACAAAAGGTCCCCTATGGCCCAATTTCAACTCCTCCTCGGGCCATCCCTCAGAGAAGCACAGGGAAGAATGCAGAGGCAGTTCCAGAATTCCCTACATCACTCCTCTTTACAGTCTGGGAGGCGCCCAGAGCATGGGCTGGCCTGGAGCACCTGGGGTGGTCAAAGTCTATTGGAATTACAAAAGCAAGATAAGAGAGAACCCAGAGTGAGATCAGGTCAAAGTTATTTTGCCCCGTAAGGACTGAAACTTTACAGTGTTGTTGCTCCTGTCCTATCTCATTGAGCAAATAAACCACAGGGGGACTCAGGGACTCGCTGGTCATGTGGTGCTTAAGAGGTAACAGGCAGGCCAGTCTCCCAAGGCAGGAGAGCCTCCCGCAGTGGAGAGCTGTTCCTAGCTGAGCCACCCTGGAGGCAGAGATGATAGAAGAAAATAGAAGGCAAAATGTTGTCTGAGAAAAAGAACGCTGAAGTACACATTATAAATGAAAAATGTCCCCTTTAGGATGTAAAGAGGAACCAGTTCTTCCAACCTGTACATAATTGAGTTAGAAGCTGGACTAGAGCCAGAGCAGAAAGCTGTAGGAGGGACAGCTGAGAAGACCCCAGGACCCCCACCTCCTACCCCCCTACCCCCACAGTGTGCCCACAGCAGCTGCTGATGCAGGTGCCAGCTATCTCCAGTCTGGGAAGGAAGAGACTGTCCACGGAATGGACTCCGAGTTCATGTTCGGGACTCCTATCCCACGTTCAGAAAACCTCCCAGCCTGGGTGCATCTCCTTTCTAGATAGACGCTTTGACAGAAGTGGTGACTGCTGTAAACGGGAAACTTGAAGTGTACCTGGACGGCGGGGTCCGGACTGGCAATGACGTGCTGAAGGCTCTGGCCCTGGGTGCGAAGTGCGTCTTTCTTGGCAGACCAATCCTATGGGGTCTTGCCTGCAAGGTGAGAGTGGAAAGCAGGAACCACCTGGAAGATACAGATTCTTGTCTGTTTCCCTGCTTTTCTGTGGCTCACCCTCCAAGCTTAGCCATGCTTGGAGGTGCCACAAATAGCTGCAGGATAGTCACACCACACCCACACCTCCAGGCCTCCTCAGCAGACTGGCAATAGCTCTTAACCCCCTGTCTTCTCTGTGTTTTCCTTTATTCCCCATGAATTCTAACTTCATAGACACCCACCCTCCTCCCTTCCACAGCTCTGGCTACAGCTAGAATTTACACTCAGCTGCTGCTCAGAATATTCCTCCATGACCCATTTTGTCTCTCTCTCTCTCTCTGTGAGCAGGGTGAACATGGTGTTAGAGATGTTTTGAACATTTTAAAAAATGAACTCCACACTTCCATGGCCCTTACAGGTAAGGATTTAAATTTTTTTCCTGATTTGGACCTTTAAATAAGAGACCTAAAGAGCAGGACCGGCAGCCTTTGCCCCAGCTGAGCCTTTCTCAGCTTGGTAGCTGTCCAGAGGGTGGAAACGGGGAAATACATCTGAGTCAAAGATTAAGCAATCTCTGGGTTCAGTGGAAAGAAACCCAGTGTTCTGCTCAAGGTCATTGTCTGTTCCGGGGAGGCTCGCCCACCTCCAGCTCTGAATTCCTGCTCTTGCCAAATTGACTTATCCCATGTCTGCTGTTTCTGTCCACTCCAAACAACGCAGACATGAAACTCAACGCTTTCCTATCTTTCCGCTTTAGGAGAAGACCCTCTCGTGAGTTATGTTTATTCAGTAATACATTCCACCCAAGTTGTGGTGCATCAACACAAATATGGAAAGAGCTTCCATTTAACATTACACATCCTGTTATTAAATTCTTTCAGCCCTTCTCCATGCCTGCTCGGGCCCATGACGCCTCAGCTAGCTCTTCTTTCTCCCTTCCCTTTTTACTTTCTTTCTTTCTTTTTTTTTTTTTTTGAGACAGAGTCTCACTCAGTCATCCTGGGGTTGAGTACCCTGGCATCATAGCTCACAGCAACTTCAAATTCTCAGACTCAAGTGATTCTCTTGCCTCAGCCTCCCGAGTAGCTAGGACTACAAGCACCCACCACAATGCCTGGCTATTTTTAGAGAGAGGGTCTCCCTCTTGCCCAGGCTGGTCTTGAACTCCTAAGGTCAAGCAATTCACCCAGCTGGGGTTCCCAGAGTGCTAGGATTACAGGCGTGAGCTACCGTGCCTGGCCCTTCTCTTTTTACTTTCTATCTGGAGTTACTCCCACAATCCCTGTATCCAATCTTAGCTACAGTCTTCATCATTTTGGATGTTAATTAAGATCTTCTACTGAAGTTCTGTCTTTACCCTTGACAGAACTTTTCCTTAGAGGGCAGGTATTATGTGGAATATTCACTCATCTCTCTCACTGTCCCTGATTCATATTCCTCCCTCATAGATACTTCCTATGTCCCTGAGCCTTATCAGAACTGAAAAAAAGAGAAAGGATGTCTACTGTACACAAGAGTTAATTTTTAAAATGCCAAAAATAAGGTTTTCACATTTTTACCTTGACATTTTGAAAGATGTCATGGGCACAAGCTCATTAATTAATCACCAATGCAATCAGAATCACTGTATCCATTCTCTACAGAAACTATTTTATCAGAGTGAGCACAAAGGTCAAGTCAAATTTGTTCCCATTGGATCACTACATACCCAGGATGGAGTGGGTTGCTGGTGTTTAAAGGAGCCTTGTAACTGCATTGTTCTTTTAGGATGTCGGTCGATTGCTGAGATCAATCGGAACCTGATCCAGTTCTCCAGGTTGTAATGAAAAAGAGCTCACGACCAGACTGCTGGCTTGCACACAGGAGGAACACAAACTCACAACACGCGTGTGCTATCATCCTGCCTGGACCCATCCTATTCCACAGCTCACACCCTGGGCCTCCAATCCCTTCACCCCTATACTTCAGGCCTTTCAAACCCATCTTCTTCAAATACCTTTAGTCTCCTTTGCTTCACTGACTTTTTATGTTATTCTCTTGCCTAAAATCCTCCTCTGAAATAAAAGATCTCAGAAGGGCAGATCAGCAATGACTGAAACAGCCCGTGGGTTATATTTTTTGCCTACCCTTTGTATCTCTGTGAAATGATTATGAAACTTTGCCCTCTGGACAGATCAGCTATGTATATTAAACCCCCCCCCAACTACAATCTCTATCTACGGCAGCACACACGAGCCAGATGAAAGGAAAGGAAACTCGTGTACTTAGATTACTTAGGAGAGTAGTAGATACTTTGCAGAATCATGGTCTTTGAAAAAGAGATTCAGGAGCCTAAGTTTGATGTTCTTGTTAAAAAATTGGTGAAAGGAAAGGGGAAATTGACCATGATCTCAGTGTCAGACCTGAAGTTTTTATTCAGGTCTTAAATTAACTCCTGCTTCGATGGGCTGATACTTTGAGGCCAAGGAAGAGTTTTTAATTTGGCAGCAAGGATAGAGTGCTTGAGTTGAAAGTGTAGAGACATACAAAGTTTAGAGACAACTAAGTTCGTGAACTTACCCTAGAAAGAGTGCTATATACTTTATTGCTAAATATCACTATGGTCACCTTCAAAGTACCCCCCTGGGGAAGCTATGCAACAACACCAGCTCCTAGTTCACCTTTCAGAGCAATTTTGGAACTCTTTTTCTGGAATGACCATCAGAGCTGTGGTTGTATGAGGTCTGACAATTAAGTTCATGAACTTATTCTAGAAAATATGCTTGAAGGGTGGATTACCAGTATGACATGTCCAGTTTAATCTCTGAGACAATGAGTGGTGCTTGGGTAAGAACCAACCATATCTGTATGACTGAGTAAATGCCATGCAAATTGACCTCCCTGTTAGCTGGTGAGAGTTTGTTGGAAGGAACAGGCTGCCATATTGTTTAAGGGACCTGTGAACAGCTCTAATTCCTTAGGAGAAGCACTCAAATGCCCCAGGTGGTGGCTGGGGCCCTGGAACTTCTAGGTTACTCCTTGCTCTCCACCACAGCAGATGTGGGTAAGAGAGTGAAGCTAGCTAGGACTGGATCAGGTGAACCTGTCCTCAGGCTCTACAGAAGCTGATAGGGTTTCCCATGTAGGGGGAAAAGTCTGCTTGGAGGGGAGGGGCCATCTGGGATCACAATCAGGCTGTCAGAAGAGGATTTCACTCTTCTCCCTGACGCAGTGCCCTGCGGTCTCCCACTAGCCTCTGCTGGCAGACAAAAGTTCAAACTACTGAGCTCCCTATCGAGTGCCTTGCTGCTGGGACCCACACTGCAATTTCTTTTTAGTTCTGCCCAGGAGGACTCCCTCGCTTCACAAGGTTAGTTCACTATTCTCCCATCTGTGCCCTTGGGCAACATGATGGAGCTCTAGAGTGTGAGACCTGACCTGCAGGCTTGTTCCTGGGTCCCTGAAGATTTGTCCCTGACTGTGCCAGGGACAAGTGTGCTGGTGCCCAGTAGCCCCAGGGGGTGCTCAGATGGGTTTGACATCCCTCTGCTTCAGGTGTGCCTTCTCTGATGGAGCAGTCAGGCAGGTAGCACCAGGGAGGGCTGGCAAGCAGGGAGGTTCCAGCTGGAGCACTGCATGGTCCACCGTGTTTTTAAGAACGAACGTTTGAGCCACTTTCTGTGGAAGCTGTGGCCAGGCAGACACACCAGCAGAGGGGAAGAGCAGTTGCTACAAGCCCCAGCTCGAGGCTCAGCAACCACAGGTGGGCAAGGGGAGTCTGGATGGAGAAAAGCTAGCACTCAGGCCATCTCTGTCCCTCTCTCCAGAAGCCAGCCCACCCAGAACGTCTAGCCTATGGGGTCATGCAGATCCCCCAAGAACCACTGACCCCCTGCGGGTCCCACAGTCTGGGCCAGAGTTGGGAAATGTTTGTGTGGGGTTGAGGAAGAGGAAAACTGAGGCGTTGAGGCCCCCGGAGGGGAGGACACAGACCCACGTGGGTGGAGAAGCAGTGTGGTGCTGGCCAGCTGAGCTCAGGTCTGTCTGTGGTGATGGGAAATGCTCCAAGGGGCTGGCAACCTGGTTCGTTGTCCTCAAGAAACATCCTGTTGGCTGGCAGCAGCAGTTTTTGGATAGAAGGGCTCTCCCACAGCTCAGGAGCCCACTGACTGCCCGAGATGTGGGGGGAGGGAGCAACAAACCCCTTCAACTAACTACCCTTCTTGCTGGACATCACGCCTCTGCCGGCAGGATATTGATTTCTGCTGTCTGTTCCTTCTCGTTCTGCTCTGCAACTTCTTCCCCCAGGTGAGTGAATGTTTAAACTACTTTGTCGGACACTAACCAGAAATTCGCATCAATTTACATATCCATAAATGGCACAACCAAAAACTTCAATTATTCTGATGTTTGCTAAACTAGTTGTGATTTTCAAACTGGGTTCAGTGAAGGGTTAATGTTCTTTGTAATGCAAGAGAAATTCCCAAGGAGAGAAGGCGGCTTGCTGGGGAATATGATGATCTATTCTCTCTCTCTCTCTTTTTTTTTTAAATTAGAGTTTCAAGAACCAGAACGGCAAATCAGCTACGCACTCAATAAGGAAATAGTCAAGTAGTTTAAAGCACCTCAATAAGGAAATAGTCAAGTAGTTTAAAGCACCTCGTGATAATGAAATAGCATATGGGCTAATGCTTTCAAGGAGTACTTATGGCATGAGGAGATAACTATAGCTAAGTGCCAAAAGCAAGACATAAACTTTATCTCTTATTATCTCAACTCAATGCACATGGACACCTACAAACGCCCATGCAAGCATATTAAATCACACTGACAGAAAGATAGGAAGGACACACCAACGTTTAACAATAGTTATATCTAGGTATGACTTTTTACTTCTCTTCTTTGTACTTTTCTCTCATTTTTAAGCTATTTACAATTTTAAAAAATAGCACATTGAAACATGCCCCATGCTGGATAAACCTTGTAAGCATCATGCTAAGCGAAAGAGGCCAATCAAAAAATATCAAATAAATACATGAATCCGTTTATATAAATATACAAGGATGGGCAGATCCATAAAGACAGGAAGTAGAGTCAGTCGTGGTTGCCTAGAGCTGGGGGAAAGGTGGACAGTGGGTAATGACGGCGGAGTGATGAAATGCACTAAAATTTTACTGTTGTGATAGTTTTGCAACTCTGTGGATATGCTAAAAAGAAAACCTTGAATTGTATACTTTAAAGGTGTAAGCCATGTGGTATATAAATGATATTTAATAAAGCTGTTCAAAGAAAAAAATAAGATACACATTATGTAGAATGTGGTTTTAAACTTTTTAAAGGTAGGAGGAGGAAAAGAAAGGAGAGAATGAAGATGAGAACTAGTGGACAATTTTTTTTTTCTTTTTTGAGACTATGTCACTCTATGTTGCCCTCAGTAGAGTGTTATGGCATCCCAGCTCACAGCAACCTCAAATTCCTGGGCTTAAGTGATTCTCTTGCTTCAGCCTCCTGAGTAGCTGGGACTACAGGCGCCCACCACAATGCCTGGCTATTTTTTGGTTGTAGCTGTTATTATTGTTTGGCAGGCCCAGGCTGAGGTTTGAACCTGTGTACTCCAGTATATGTGTCTGGTGCCCTAGCTGCTGAGCTATGGAGGATAAATTTGACTGCTCTAAATCCCTGAATACAACTCCACCTTGACCAAGATCTAGGGGTAGATGGCCCCATCTGCCCATCTCAACCCGCAATGGCTCATATTGACATTATCTCTTCATACCTATTTTTCTTTCTAGAATGTCAATTCTGCAAGGGCAAAGGCTATGTCTCATTTACTTTAATGCCTCCAGGCCTTAGGACAGATCCTGCTACAAACCCAGAACACCATGAAAGGCTTTTTGTCTGGTTGGTTAGTTTTGGTTTTAATTTTTTGTTTTTGGCTTAAAACAGTAGAGATTCATTCTCACAGTTCTGGAGACTAACAGTCCAAAATCAAAATGTCAGCAGGGCCATGCTTTCTCTCAAAGCTATAGAGAAGAAGCCTTCCCCAACTTTTTTTTTTTTTTCCAGTTTTTAGCTGAGGCTAGGTTTGAACTCACCACCTCTGGCATATGTGGCTGGTGCCTTACTCCTTTGAGCCACAGGTGCCGCCCCTTCCCTAACTCGTTGTAACTTCTGGGATGCCAGTAATCGTCTGCATTCCATGGCTTGTAGAGCCAGAACTCCAATCTGTACTTCCATCATTGCATGGTATTTTCCCTGTGTGTCTCATTATGAATTATGAGATCCCCAAGTCATCCCCGTCTACATCTCCCTTCATCTCCCAAGACCAGGGTGTTCCTGAGTAGAGGGGATTCAATAGTGTGGACCCAAAGATTCTTCTACTCAAAAGCCTATTGGCCATTTAAAAAAATAATTCTTATAATCCTCAATTCCTTCTGATTAGGGTTGACTTGAGGCTAGGCTGGAATCCCAGAGTCCACTCACAGTACAGATATAAGAAAAGAAGCTGTCAAATTGAATAAGATATCATGGAGTCCCAGTTAGGGCCCATTTTACTTCCTCTCTCCTCCTCTCTTACCACAGCCCAACAGATACATTTTTGAAGACAAAGTTAACAGGAATCCAAAAAAAAAAAAAAATTGCCACTCACAGGAAGGAAAGAAATAGATGATTCTGAGGGCTGAAGCAATCATTATTCTGATAAAATGTAGCCCAGAGATTAGATAAAATTTGAGGACTTTCAGATGATTAAAGATTAGAAAGTTTTAAGCACATTAAGTCATCAAAGAGCATTCTTCACAAGAGTCGATCTGAAAAATGCTATGGCCTCATTTACTTTTGACTCAAAACTTTGAAGAACAAGTTCAAAGGCCCCTCTTACCCTCTCTCACCCTCTCTTTGCCCTTCCACCGTGGGATGACGTAGCAAGAAGGCCCTTACCAGACACAGCCTCTTGATCTGGAGCTTCCCAGCCTTCAGAACCACGAGCGGGTGCATTTCTGTTCATTGTAAATGACCCACTCTGTGTGGTACTCTTTGATAGCAGCACAAAATGAACTAAGACCTGGTAAAGGCATGAATGTAGCCATTTGGCATTCATCTATTCATCATTAATTTATCCAGCAAATGTCCATTAAGCCCCTATGT